GGCTCTGGACATATCCTGTCTTAACTACCGAATTATCTCCTTAATTCCCAAGGCCCCGGGTGCGGCGGACATTAGGCAATTCCTCCCTATCACAGTCCTCAATGTGATATTTAGAACTCTAACCAAAGGGTGCGCCACTAGGGCGGCCCTTATCGCTCCTCGGATTCATCACCCCAACCAATCGGCCTTCACGAAAGGCTGATTTATTCTCGATGGGGTCCTAGTCCTCCATGAGATGATTCATGAGGTCAAGTCGAAACACCTCAGCGCGGTGTTCTTCAAAATCGACTTCCATAAAGCTTATGACACATTCCACTGGTCCTTCCTTCGGGAAGTGTTGCTCAAACGTGGGTTTGATCACCACTGGGTCGCACGCGTTATGCAGTTGGTCACGAGTGGTCGGACGGCGGTTAACATAAACGGGAAGGTTGGCCCATACTTCTTGACGGGCCAAGGGGTCCGACAGGGGGACCTGATATCCCCCTTTCTATTCAACCTTGTGGTTGATGCCCTCGCCTCGATTCTTGACCGAGCCAAACGTGCCGGCCATATTAGGGGAATTTGCCCTCACCTGATTGCACATGAGGGTCTGACCCACCTCCAATATGCCGACGACACCATTATGATGGTGGAAGGCTCGGATGAGGATATTCAGAATCTAAAGTTCCTCATCCTTTGCTTCCAGGAAATGTCGGGCCTCACGATTAACTTCGCCAAGAGTGAGGTGATGGTCATAGGATACTCCCCGATGGAAGCTCAGCGAATTGCCAAACGCTTGAACTGCCGTTTGGGAACATTTTCGACCACCTACCTTGGTGTTCCTCTTAGTGACACTCGTCTGCTTGAGAGGGATTTTCGCCCAATAATCACCAAGATCCAACCCAGGATGGAGCCTTGGCAGGGGAGGTGGCTATCTAAAGCCGCTCGAGTGATTCTGATGAATTCCTCCCTTATTAGTCTACTGATGTATATCATGGGATTCTATAGTTTACATGAATCCCTCCACCATGAGGTCACCAAACTCCTCTCCATTTTTTTCTGGGAGGGAGAAAACAATAAATAGAAGTACCACATGGTCAAGTGGTCTGAGATCTGCAAGCCGAAAGACCAAGGAGGTCTTGGGGTTATTTCATCAAAGAGTATGGATACTGCCCTCCTCTCCAAATGGCTTTGGCGGATTCAGACTGCTGAAGGCGTCCTGTGGCTTGAGATTATCCATGCTAAGTACTTACGCGGACAGCCACTGGCTTTCGCGTATAGAACTGGTGGTTCCTAATTCCGGCAATCGGTGATTCGGCTGATGCCGATTTTGCGTATTGGGACCTCCATTAAAATTGGTTCTGGCTCCGGCACCTTGTTCTGGCTAGATCGGTGGGCAGGGACCCGCCCCTTTGCTGACCGCTTTTCTGCGTTGTTCGCGATCTGCGTCCGCCCACGGCTCTCCGTGGCTGTGGCCTTAGCTGACTTGGGGGCTATTGCCTTTCGCCGTACCTTCGGGGCGGTGGAACTTGGCCAATGGGATGAAATGCTTGAGTGTATTGCCCTACACCCCCTCCCTAGATCCTGATTCCCTTTCTTGGCACCTCGAGCCAAGTGGCCGCTTCTTAACGAGATCCCTCTATCAGGCGATTGTCCCCACCCCGGGCCCAATGGAACTCTCGGTGCTCTGGGAGATTAAACTTCCCTTAAAGATCTGCATGCATCTTCCTTTGGCAACGGGTCTGCGGCCGCCTACCTTCGGGTACGGAGGTCCGCAAACGTAATGGCCCTGGGGATGGGCTATGCCCCATTTGCTTGGTACCGGAAGATTGCAATCACATCTTCTTCCGGTGTCCGGTGGCCCAATTCCTTTGGAGTTGCATCCGGGAGGTGGTTGGGGGCAACTGGTGCCATGACAACCTCCCAAACTTGTTTGGGGAGGCACTTAGGCTCCCCAGCTCTAGTCGCCCATCCATGTGGGTGGTATTGGGTACCTTAGCTTGGACCCTCTGGTGCAACCGTAATAAGCTAGTCATTGAACGCGTAATTCCTTGGCGTGTGACTGATGCTATCTACAAATTGTGTGGCCTTTTACAGCTTTGGAGACCGCTTAGCAAGCAGAGAGACCGGAACACCATCGACATCATCATAGCGGGTCTTCGAGCTTCGGCATCGGCCTTCGCCCCTCCTCCACCACCCCCTCCGCCACCTCCCGAGACGGATTAGCGTCCTTTTAGCTTTAGCTTTGTTTGGGGCTTGTCTTGTTGTGCCTCCAGCATGACTATGGCTTAATTACTCTTTGTACTGTGATGTTGGATACTTGGTTCGTTGCTTTATATAAAAAGCGGGGGGAAACCCTTTTTCGTTAAATTTGTTGGGCAGGCCGAGCTGGGGCAAGATGAAGGGAAACACATTTTCTCTTCTATCCCTCAAAAGGTCCAACTATATTGATGCTCTTCAATGTTTCGGCCATGGCCCATCTGGCCTTGTTGTAGCTTCCTCAGTGGTTCTAATCACCTGACAACTCTTCTAATAATTTGATGCACATACCGGGGTGTATTCTATACAGAAGAAACAAAGATCCAAACGATTGAATGTGTTGATGGGTAGCCCATGTGCCTCTCCACGACACAACAACTCACTTCATATCAGTTTAATGTCAGTTTCAACCAGAATAATCTCCCAAATGCAGAAAACAATATCTTCTATTCTATAGCGTTGTCCAGACCATATTCTAGAAGGAGTATTCCGTCGGTTCGCCGTGCCACCCCATATTGTTAGAATCGGGGCTGGAGGTCTCCCTAAGATTCACTAGTTAATGATGGACAGCTTAACGAGAGAGACAGGTCGTATGGCAGTTTAACATGGAAAAGAATACGTGCGAGACACTGAAACCCTCGCCAACTAAAGTAGTACATACAGTATTGTTGAAGCTGATCGATGCACTGGTTGGTTTGGTGGGAGTTCTAGTTTGGTGCGCCTGTGAGTGGTGAGCTCGCAGCCGGATCCCAGCAAACAAACAAATGCCCGTGCAACTTGCTCGGTGGCTGCTTACACGATCATAACAGAACAGAGGCGACATTGTACAAGTTCAGTGTATGCTTCCCATCAGCACATGAAGCAGATGCGTGAACGCAACGGTTGGCGAAGTGGCGGATGCAATCATCCGCACTTCGGCTTTAATCTAATGATAAATTTGGCTAAGCGCGCGCATGTAAAAATCTACTGCTAGCACAAATCTGTAGCTTTACCCCTCTTAATCTAGTTCCGTCGGAAAGTGGTCTGCATGTGTATGTAGTGTTTGGTCGTAGTAGTATCCTATACGCGCGGCTGCTGCTTTAACGCTTTCGATTCGAATGCCTTTTCATACAGAGTGCAACGATGTGAGAACTCGAGGAAAATGTGGCTCGCATAAACTATTTAAATCGACCCCAAAAAGAGTAGTACTACCATGTAAGGCCAGGCACCAAACCAAGCCACTGGACTGCACTGGAGCACCTTCTATAATTAATAACAATACTTTTTCTTTCGCGTCACTCTCTCTCACGCGCATTCCGTTTTGGTGTCCCTCTCGCCCATCCGTCGGTCCGTCCTCGTCTCAGAACAGTCGATCGCCATCACCATCCATCATCGTTACTTTTCTGGATCAAGGCCCCCTCACATCACCATCAATAGCGATTAGTACGTAATTACGCAGTTCGTTAATTTGCCACCAGCTCGCGCTCGTTCTCGTCCACGCCAAGAGGAGTGGTTAATTACTCAGTTAAACGGAGCACGCGCCCGGTCAGGACCGCGTCGGTCCATGGACCGGGTACGCTGCCGTCGCGTGCCTGAGCTGGAGGGAGCATCGCGTGGGTTTTCACCGTGGAACGCGTCACAGTTAACTCCGCCTGTCATTTGCCGGGCGAGAAGCCGTCTTGGCGACGACGCATACCGATGATTAGACGGACGCTAATTAAATGTGTTTGAAACTGAACAGACAGACTGATAGTTCAGGCTCGCAGGTTATCTATCAGTTCAAGGATGTGCAAATACTAGTACTCCCTCCGTCTCAAAATTCTTGTCTTAAATTTGTCTAAATACAGATGTATCAGGTCACATTTTAATATTAGATACATCCGTATCTAGATATAAAAGACAAAAATTTTAGGACGGAAGAAATACAACATATACATCCCAGCTACTTCTCCCCTTCCATAATATAAAAGTATTTTTGATATTAGTGTAGTGTCAAAAAAAATTTATATTAATGGGATGGAGGGAGTAATATGCAGTTGAAGAGGGCGAGCTGATTGATGCGTGCTGGCCGCGTGTTACACGGGACTGCAAGTGGGCCGGGCCAGGGAGGCGCTGCACCCACCACCTTTTGTTTCTACCGATCTTTGCTGACACTAGCCCTGCCTGAATTAATGGACAGATCAATTAGTTCATGCCACTGTCGGTTCGAATACACCATGCATGCATACGTGTACCTGCTAATCAGCTAATGCAGTCCTGTACTGACAGAGATACATTACCAGCTAGCAGCCTAGCACTCCACGATGATGGTGGCGAGCTGATGCTGGCGCCCGTGCCATGATAATTGATGGACGACTGCTGGCGCGTGCTGTAGCCTGCCTATCCTATGGATTGGAACACGAGGCTGCGAGTGGATAGCGCCACGAAAGCGCCGCGCCGCTCCACCACCTTTGTCCTTTGCCCTTTCTCCCCCACCCCACCCCACCCCACCCAGCCAAGCAAAAATATCATCCCGGTCAAGAAAAAAAAAGAACTCATCCCAGACACCTTCCGGCATTCACTCGTCCGACACCCATCCTCGTCACCACGAGCCCTTTCGCCCGCGCACGTCGGCCCTATAAATACGACGCGCGTCCGCCTCCCCTGCCAAGTCAAAGCAACCAGCAGCGAGCCAGCCAGGCAGCCGATTGAATACGGCCACGACGCGCTTCCCCTCCGGCCAACCAATTCTCCCTCTCGCCAGCCCCGATCCCCATCGCAGCATTCCTGCCCCCGACCCACCCATGGCGGCCGCCAAGTCCGTCGAGCGGCTGGCGCAGCGCCTGGTCACCCCCGCCGAGCCCACGCCGGCCGGCCCGCTCCGCCTCTCCTGGCTCGACCGCTACCCCACCCAGATGGCGCTCATCGAGTCGCTGCACGTCTTCAAGCCGGCCCCTGACCGGGACGGCGGTGACGCCGGCCCGGCGGGGACAATCGAGCGGGCCCTCGCGCAGGCCCTGGTGCAGTACTACCCGCTCGCCGGCCGCCTCGGGTTCACGGAGGAAGGTGGGCTGCTGCAGGTCGACTGCGGCGGCGACGGCAGCGGCGTCTGGTTCACGGAGGCCGCGGCAGGGTGCGCGCTCGAGGACGTCGAGTACCTGGAGCACCCCATCATGATCGCCAAGGACGAGCTGCTCCCGCCCATCCCCGCCCAGGAGGAGGACCCGCGGAAGCTCGTCCTGCTCGTCCAGGTCACCACCTTCGCCTGCGGCGGCTTCGTCGTCGGCTTCCGCTTCAGCCACGCCGTCGCCGACGGCCCGGGCGCCGCGCAGTTCATGGCAGCCGTCGGGGAGCTCGCCCGCGGCCGCAGCGTGGAGGACTTGACCGTGGAGCCGCAGTGGGGCCGCGAGGCCATCCCCGACCCGGCCGGCGCCGTCATCGGCAGCCTGCCGAGCCCCGCGGGCGCCAAGCGGCTCGAGTACCTAGCCATGGACATCTCCGCGGACTACATCAACCACTTCAAGTCCCAGTACAACTCGTCGCACACCGGATCTTGGTGCTCGGCGTTCGAGGTGCTCGTGGCCAAGGCGTGGCAGAGCCGCACCCGCGCGGCGGGCTTCGAGCCGGACTCCACCGTCCACCTCTGCTTCGCCATGAACGCGCGCCCCCTCCTGCACGCCTCGCTCCCGCGCGCCGGTGCCGGGTTCTACGGCAACTGCTACTACATCATGCGCGTCTCCGCGCCCGCCGGCAAGGTGTCCGGCTCCACGATCCCGGAAGTGGTGAAGATCATCAAGGACGGGAAGAGGCGGATGCCGTCGGAGTTCGGGCGGTGGGCGACGGGGGAGGCCGGCGCCGACGGCGGCGTGGACCCGTACCAGATCACGTCCGACTACCGGACGCTGCTGGTGTCGGACTGGACGCGGCTCGGGTTCGCCGAGGTGGACTACGGCTGGGGGCCGCCGGCGCACGTCGTGCCGCTGACGAACCTGGACTACATCGCGACGTGCATACTGGTGAAGCCGTGGGCGCACAAGCCCGGGGCGCGGCTCATCACCCAGTGCGTGACGCCCGACCGCATCGCCGCCTTCCACGAAGGGATGCTCGACATGAACTGACCGGGGCCGAGCACGACGACGGAGCCAAAGAAGAAGTCGAAGACGGAGGCGAGAGGAATTGACTTGTTTATGTGATGATTAAATTAGTAGAAGTAGTACAGTATATTGGGTTGGTTGTTTGGATGGACTGATGTAGGGTGGTGGTGTGCAGTAGTTTAACCGGAAATAAGCTCCCCGATTCGGGGGGTTGGGTCGCGATTGGATTTGGTGGGAAAAGCCACCAACTAACTAATCCTTCATGGAATGTAAGAATCATTTGTGACATGATACTATACTCCTACTAGAGAAATTTTATTTTGTTTGTCTTGTCGCATAGCTGAGATCCACGGTGGTGGTGGCTTATGAGCAGTGTGTTCACTGTGTATCTGCGTTTTGTGTCGGTCACACACTGATTGCACGGCCGATTCAGTCCCAGGCAAGCCTTTCTGCCCGAATCTCGTCGTAGCACAACCCTTTCTGCATTCACTTTGCTGCATGCGTCGACAAGAAAATGCCCAGATGTCGCTGGCTTCTTCCTTTTTATCTGTTTATTCATATGGTTTACTGGATAGTGGACATTGATAGGAATCTGACTTGATACATCGGGAACTGTCGGTTACATAAAAAAAAACTGTCGGTTATCTTGATCCCTTCGTTAACAAGACTCTACAAATGATGAGCCTAAACAAAGACATGCCTATGATATAGAGATGTGAAACCTTTACGAATGAAGATCTGGAATTAACTCTATCATCAAAAACATCATAGAAGATGCATATGTACTTCATTTTCGATGAACTTGATTTTATCATGAAGATGATCATAAGCTCTAAAACTTACAAAGAGAAATACCAGATAAGAACCAAAAAAGATGACGCAAGGATGCAATGGTTTGAGCTCTTTACGAACGATACGATCAAGCTACTCACTCGAGAGCCCCCCTTGATAGTACGATAATCAATCTTACAACCCGGTCTCGCAACTATCACCATGAGACCGGTAAAATGGAAAACCTATCAAGGGCAAACCTTTGCCTTGCGCATAGTCCACTTGATCTATATGATGACGATCTTGACCTTCTCAAGTTGGACCACCTTTCTTAATTGTGCTGGCTCAGTGAAGACTAGTAGATTTCTCTCCCATACTCAACTATGGGTGAGCCACTCTTCGGCACATCTTCACAATTCCATTGTCATCACAATGGACGGCAAACTTCAAGTATGATCTCTTCGTGATGCTCCACATGAACTTGCACATCGTAATCTTTATGACGATCACCACTTGATGTCATCCTTCATGGGTTGTATGAGATCTTCCTCTTGACACAAGCCCATGGAAACATACCTAACCCCATGTCGAACTCTCACGTAGACCATGGGTTAGTACACAAAGCGTAATTGACAATGCTTACCATACCATGGGATCACTTGATCCCACTCGGTACATCTTCTACGCTTTGTTTGTTATCTTCTCTCTTCGTAAAGATGATGTCTTGAAGGTAACCATGAATGTTCACACAATCTTCCTCTTCAAGATATGCTTGCAATAAGCTCAATCTCACATGACCAATCTTTGGATAAATTCCTTGAATAACACCTTGGTCATCACGTAATCTCCTTCAAACCAACAAATGGACTTCAAGAAATGTCTATGGACAAACCCTTCAAATATAGCCCATGGCAACCATTAGTTCATAGAGATTGTCATCAATTACGAAAACCAAACATGGGGGCACCATGCTCTTTCAACTCCAAGAAGATCGAGGAAAACATTTTATTGAATATCAAATAGAGAGAAGAAGCCATCTAGCCACTAGCTATGGACCCATAAGTCTGTGGTGAACTACTCACGCATTATCAAAAGGCAGCAAGGATGATGGAGAAGCCATCTTTGATCGATTTCCCCTCCGGCGGAGTACCGGAAAAGGCCTCCAGATGGGATCACGAAGGAACAAAAGTTTGCGGCGGCAGAAAAGGTGTTTCGGGTGGCTCCTTGTTGGTTTGGGAATATATGTGAATTCATAGGCTTGGAATTAGGTCAAATAGAGTTGCGTGGGGCCCCATGTGAGCTCGTGGCTCTCTCGTAGCTCTTCTAGCCTCCTCCCGAACCTTCTAGGGTCCCTTCTGGTCCAGAAAAAATCACCGTAAAGTTTTATCGTGTTTGGACTTCGTTTGGTATTGATTTTCTGAAAAGCCAAAAACAAGCAAAAAAACAGAACCTGTCATAGGGCACTAGTTTAATAGGTTAATCCTAAAAAATAATGTAAAATAGCATATAAAAAATCCAAGATTGATAATATAATAGTATGAAACAATAAAAAAGGTACAAACCAATCCTTAGCAATCTATCACGGATTTACGTGGAGAAGGGAGTTGGGACATATTTTGGCTTTGAAGAATTTTTCTTTGTTGGTGGCTCGACCTCCTTTGTTCCTCTATAAATACACCGATCAATGAAGTGTACTGTGCGTATGGTGGGCCCTACAAGCCTTGTCGTGCCCTCTTGCTGCACCCCATGAGTGTACTGTGCGTATGACTTTCTTTGTCTTTCTATTCTTTGATATATCGACCTTTTCTATTTATTGGCGCCGTTCTTTGACTTCTCTGCAAAAGGGCGATGATATAAACAGTCATGTCTGCTACTCCCTCCGTTCCTCTATGTAATGCGCATAGATTTTTTGGCATTATTCTGACATGTAGTGCGCATTAGCTACTTTGGGCTCTTTTGGACGAAACTAACCCCGCAGCGGCACAGGCACACACGCAACGTTAGCGTGTATCCCCTTCCTCCAGGACAAACGGATTGGACCGGTGGCAGCGGGAATCGACCCGCGGCGGCAGACGCGGAGGGGGAGCAGCAGGAAGCCGGTGTCTCCGTGTCCTCTGCCGGCTCTGGCATCTTCGCGTCCGCTGCTGGCGGCCGGCCTCTCCGGCATCGCCGCGTCCGCATCCGGCGTCTCTGGCATCTCCGTGTCAACTGCCGGCATCTTCGCATCCACGGCCGGCCTCCGGCGTCGTTGCGTCGGCTATTGGCATCCCCGTGTCCGTCGCATCCCTGGCAAACATCTCCGCTGCCAGCCACATCAAGTGGACTAGTACTCCCAAGTCGATCCCGTCCGCTGCAGGCCAGCACGGCCCCTTCTTCTATCCCCAGATCTAGAGGCCACGGCCACCTCCTAGGCGGTAGAGGAGGAGGGGGAGCAGCAGGAGCTCGAGGTGTGGACCGTGTCGACACCGTCCTTCCGGTCGCGCGCGGAGGAAGGGACAAGGGCAGCGGCCGCCAGGACTTCTTCGTGATTTATGACGGCCACGGCGAGCCGGTGGAGAGATGGCGAGGTTGTCGAGGTCACCGCCGCAGCCGCGGATCCCGCTGCCGCTAAGTCACAGCCGCGGATCCCGCCGTAGTATCTCGCGCGGTTTGCTATCCCTGCGGTGGCGCGTGATGGTCCTGTGGTGGCCTACTGGTTTGGCTTTCCACTGATCAGAAAGTACGCCCACATGCACACGGGCTGGAGGCAAGACAAGCGGGGGTAACAGCGTCCAAAATTAAGCGCCAGGTCACTGATTGGTATATGTGCCTGAAACCATGCACACTATATAGTGGAACGGAGGGAGTAGTAAAATTGGAAATTAAGTAATGTAATTGATAAAAGATACATAGTGACACGCAGGTGTGGGGACACCAACCCTATCTCATGCTTTTTCTTTAGGATTTTCGATTTGAATATATTATCTCTTTTGAACAAAAAGCCTACTTTATTTTTAGTTTGCATATTGGGGTCCTAGTGACGAGTGCATTGAAATCAAACCACTTTTGAATATGGTATACCATATTTTTACAACTTCACTAAGTTTCACCTGCCAAAACCAGGTAGGAACGAATGATAATTTCACTAAGTTTCAGAAGCTAAAACATAAAACCATGCAGGCAACTACGAGGAATCAAACGACTTTGCGTATCGCAAGGCAATTGTGCGGCCAAGCGCGGCTGGGAAGGTGTCTACCCCTCCGGGGTAAACGATACAAAAAGACATTAGAAAGCTAGAAGAAAACATTATTGTTTTTGGATGCATTAATACCTTCATACAACACAAATGCGCCACTATGGAGTAACTACCACGAATAACACATTTCAATACAAACACCCAATTCACATGAATATGTCAATATGAATGCCCATGTGCAAGCATGTTTCTGGATTTAACTGCTTCATGTATTGATGCAGTGAGCGGTATTATTTTGCCCTCTTGTATGCATTGCAAAAAAGAATGCCACAAGATGAAGGAGCCGACAACACAAAGGAGGGGAGAGGACGAAGAACTATGCGTCGTTTGGGGGTCGCTGGCAAGAAAACAATGGACTTGATCGGAAAGAAAAGTCAATACTAGCCACGAGAAATTGCCCACGTTACCAGTGCGGGCGGACTCTTAGATATTTATGGTACTCTCACCTCTCCTCATAGAGGGTAAGGTACTGTAAAAAAATCTCTAGGAAATCCCACGGAGATCATAAAAGATAGGAATGGACCCTTCGAAAAGAGTACCACATCTACAGAATGTTAGTTAAATATTTTACAGGCAAGCTGATATGGAGAACTCTGATTGATAGTGGGTTGAAGATCCACTCCCCAGCAAAATTCAGGGTGAAGAGAATTGTAGTTTAGAAAGTTAAGTAAAACATTTGTAAATTCTTTGTAGGTCTAGCATTATTGCTTTGGAAATCCTATGAATTTTTTTCTACACTAGGATCCCATAGGATTTCTAGCAAATGACGAGATATTTTGAAATTTTACAATTCTGCTTGCGCCAACTATGACACGCATCATAATTGAAAGCTCAAATGATTTAGGTTACGCCCTACCATCCATATTAATTGTCGCATGGATCAAAGGTTGTACAATTTTTCATGTTTTTTATTTATGCGAAATTTACATCTTTGTTTTCAAAACCAGGGAACAAAGAGGCCCTGGCACTTCTTACTATAACCAACGTATCTATAATGTCACTGTTGTATAATATTTGTTGGCTCTTCATCCATGGAATTAATGCCGGTTCTTCATCCGTGGAGTTAATTTCATTGTTAGA